GGCGCGGCGCTGCAGGGGGCGGCCCCGAGCTGGGCCCTAGCGCCCGCCGGGCGGTGCGCCCCGTACCCCCTTTCCCCGCTTCCTCTTCCTTTCCTCCGACCCCCCTCGAGGGCGAGTCCCGCGAGCTTCCTTTTGTACCGCCCCACCGCCAGCGCGGGTGGAGGAGCTTCGGCCTCCGCAGTAGCTATTGTTGTCTCACACAGGTCTCAGGTCTGGCAAACTCGGGGAGCAGTGCGAAGCTGTCGTTCGTTTTCCCAGGCTCTTCCAGAAATATCCCTTCCCTATTCTCATTAATTCTGCTTTCCTAAAGCTAGCTGATGTTTTCAGAGTTGGGTGAGTATTATCGGTCAGTTCGTAATGCTTCAAATCTCTGGCCTATAGTGAGGTATTTTATCCTGAGGTCCTGCTACATCGGCATCTGGGCAGCTTTGGTGTTTTTCTGCTCGCTCGATAATAGCGCAGTGATGCCTAGTCTTTAGAGGACTGCGTGCGCTTTTCCTTAGAGCATGCCTGCTCCATCCTTAGTGGCTTAAGTGGCTGTGAGAGATTAAGTTCAGTGATGCACATTCCTCCCTGTAGGCACGTTCAAGATCAGAAATAATTGAACATTCAGATTGCTGCAAATTGCTTTGCTATGATGTGAATAGCGAAGACCACTGTATAGCTTTTCCAAGTGCCTGATGCCGAAATGATGCATGTGGCAGGATTACAACTGCTTTGTAATAACTTACGAAAATTATATGTGCAGAAAGTTTGCCTTTGATTTCATTTAAAAGATTCATAAGGTAAAACCAAGAGGAAGGAAAAGAAATTCACTCAAACCAGCCAAAGGTGATTAGACTTTAAGGCTTAGTTAGCTAAGCTAAGTTTTAGTTCAAGGCTTTTCTAGCAGAGCTGGGTCCCTAAGCATGTACAACACAGGTGTTCAGTGCGTTTTCATGGATGTCAACAGGCCAGTTTCCCTGGAAGAGAATTGGGCCTAAATTTGATGCTAACTGTACTATTAAAAGTAGTTTGTTAATATTTTCTTTTTAACTGTATCAGCCTACTGAAACGTACTATCTCTAAAGTTATAGACTTTGCCTCGTTTTAACTAACTCAAATATCTTTAGTAATCATTTTGCTTGCTTAAAGTGCTTTTTTGTTTTGAATTTCTGTTATAATACAGTCTGTTAAAGATAAGCGTGTATTTTCCAATAGAAACAACTTCCTGAGGCTGTGTGTGCTCAAAGTTACTCAGCAGAGTGAGAAGCACTTAGAGAAGATTCTCAATGTGGATGAGTTTGTGAAAAGAATTTTCTCAGTAATTCATAGCAATGATCCAGTTGCTCGGGCCATTACACTTCGGTACGTATTTATAACTTTCACAGAGATTTCAAGTAAGTCCGGTTCATCTAGCTAATTATCCTAGACTGGAATAACATAAATCTGTGATAACCATGAATGAAATGTAGGAGGTGTTTTGCACATTGGGCATAAAGATAAGAGCAGAGACAACCATCTTAAAGGGAGTAAAAAAAAAAAAAAAGGATTTGTGAGCAGAAGAACAGATTATTAACTACTTATGATGGTGAGAATTGTGTGGATGGCTCCAGGCAAAACTGAATTCACAAGACTGAAGTTTTATATACCCGAAAAACAGAAACGTTGTATGCATAACTGAGATTTTAGCTACATGCAACATATATTTGCGTATGATGGAATTAGATAAAATTGAAAAGCAGAGTGCTTCCTTATGTGTCAAATTAATTTTTGTTAACTTATAAACACAATTTATTTATGTGTACCTTGTTACGCCTGCATGTATTTTTCGTTGATCGCTGTCCTAGATGTTTCCTGCTTGACAGTCTCTGATCAACAACATCTAAGGAAGTGCTCATGTATTAGCCATTGCTTTGACCTTCCTGGAATTAAATAAAAAAAAAAAACTTTTAAGCTATCTTTAATGACTTGTTGCCCTGGTGTCCGTCTTTGTAACACTGACCACTTGATCATCTTAATTGCCTCTTCCAACTCCCATGCAAGTGAATTCAGATGTGGAGAAAGCACTCTTCTTTCTCCCTTGCTTGTTCTTTTCTTCTGTCCATTCAGAACTGATACGGATTTCAGTATTGAAAGATGGGAGACATTAACAAGATTTTTTTTTAGCTTGTACATCCATTTCTTTCTCCTTTTGACATAATTATTTGAGATTCTGCTTTGATGTTCTAGTGTCTCAGAAATACGTGAGTCTGGTATATGTATAACTTTTCTTATAGTTTTCCTTCTGTATTCCAAGGTAAGATTACACTTGCTGACTAGTGTGAAGTGCCACCTTAACAGACTGTCAGAAGCCTCAGGAATCTGCTCAGTTTGCAAATATGCTTGAATTGTTCATCAATCCACAAGAT